GAGGCAAGCGAGACTTGGAATCGATGCGCGATACGTCATTACGAATCTTTGTTTACATTCCAAAGAGCCAAAAACGTGAATTCTCACGGTGAATGAGCGGAAATGTCTGTGTGTGTTTCATGTGCGTCTGTGTTAGTGACTACGCGCTCACAGAAGAACAAGTGCGTCTTCATGAGAGCGTTATCAGGCAACGCGCCGCGCCGCGCCGTCGCTAAATAGTCACCTGAGACTCTGCGTGAAACTAAATTCGTCGATAGTACGTGGAACATCTAGGGAACTAATCTACAAGCTTTTACAATTCTGCCGTCTTTCGTATACGTTCTGCTTACTTTCTTTGGCACGGTACTAAGCTGTGTTAAAAGGCAATTATTACAAAGAAACGAAGGACATTTCTCAATGGAAAAAGAATAACTTAAACTTAGAATATTCGATTTTAGATCCGTATTCACATCAAACATCGCATCGAGAACATATAGGCACATTTTTTTGTGAACACAAGTTACATGGGATAGAGGGTCGCACAATGCTGTTTACAATAAACACAACAAATGTCCATTCTTCATTTTTTCAATACCTACAACTCCGCCACACCATTGAGAACTAAACATTAAAAAATGAAGGATGGACATTATTTGTTATGATTTTGTAAAACAGCATTGTGTCTGGAGGAAACTGAAAAAGTGTTGAATGGAGATACGGCGTTTTTACATTGAACGGCAGTATAATGTGAAATAAGTTTCTCCATTCTGCCGTCCACAGTAAAAACGCTGTAACTCCACTCAAAATTCTGTCCTTTTTTCTAGCACGTACTGCTCTATTACAAGAAAATTCAACTGCCACAAGGCTTCATTTTTCAATACAACTCCGCCACACAATTGAGAACTAAACATTAAAAAATGAGCCTTTGAGGCACTTGCATTTTCTTGTAATAGAGCAGTACGTGCTGGAGGAAATGAAACCATTCTGAGTGGAGTTACGCCGCTTTTGCTGTGGACGGCAGTATAAGTGACGAATCTCGCACGCACTGAAAAAAAAATTTCGGTGTATTTACTAAGAAAACGGTAAAATTACCAAGAATTCAGGGTTCTATTTGATCTCAGTTTTTTCTTGGTAAAATTACCATTTATGAAATTGGTAATTTTACTGAGAAATCTCGGTAAAATTATTGAACTTTCTCGGTAATTTTACTGGACCTTGGTAAAAACGCCAATATTTTTTATCGACTGTGGTAGAATTACCGAGATAAAATGGCAAAGTTACCGGGAACTGATTATCAATAAAAGTGGTATTCTTACCGGAAAAAACAGTAAAAATACCGGTTTTTAGGTAAGCTTACCAGCCGGTTTGGTAAAATTACCAATAATTCGTAAAAAAAGTGAGATGGTAAAGGTACCAACTTACCTTCGTAAAAATGCCGAGAATTTTTTTTCGGTGCGATTTGGCTATCGCGAGAGCCAGTTCGTAAGCTTCATCTTCGATCTCGAGTCATGAGCTCTATTTTATATTTGAATAAATGACTACTTACTGTAGCGCGCTTAAAAGGATGCTCGGCCGGGCAGACTGGATACTGAACTTTATTTTCAAGCTACTTTCTTTTGCTCGCCATTTTCTACTCGTCCGAAAGCCATCCGACTGGACCGCGTAACCGCCGCAATTAAGTATGGCGAGAGCGTTTTTCCAATACGAGCCCGTCTCTCCGACGAAATTAAAAGTTCTAGTGAAAGTTGACTGATTTTTTTCCGACGGCGGCACCCGGTGCTTCGCTCATCATGCGACATTTAGAGCCCGGCTAATTCAATGAAGGCCGCCACACAGTTGCCACGTCCAAAAGTCTCGCGTCCTCACTCACTCAAATTTTCGTGTTTCGCATTCTAAATGGACTCAGAGACTTGGAACTAACTCCAGCGGGCCGATTATTGAAACTGATAGACAAAGTTATAGACAAAGACGACAAAAGGGATTTGGAGGGATCCTATTGGTGGAAGCAGGTGGTGGCAATGGACATAGGAGGTAGGTAATGGACTAACTAACGGTAACCCACTAAAGACCCGACAGTTAGTCCATCATTTTCTGCCTTAGTCCATAAGAACCAACCATGTCAACCAATAAGATTGCTCCATACTCCCTATGTCTTCTTTGTCTATCGCATTGTCCATATGTTTCAATAATCGCCCCGCTGGGCCGGATTAAGGGGGTGGCCACATGGGCCGCGGCCCATGGCGGCAAATTTTGCAATTTTTTTAAAAGTAGGTATAAAAAAAATCGGAGTCAGAAAAAAAAATAATCAATGAGAAAAGGGGACAAAATCTCTCTTTCCTGAGAGTATAGTAATTTCTAATCTTGTCGTTTTTCGGTGATACAAGAGACAGCATCTTAGTCGAGGTAAGAGAGGAACTAAACACGCAATTTGGCCTAGAGCTCAGCGCAGAGAGGAATGATGACACGGACTTGAGATGAAAAGGACAAGTCCTCGGCGCGGCGGTCGGCATGTAACACATGTTAGCGCCTACGAGACTGCACGAATACTTCACCCATTGCGTCAAACACGGTGCGGTCAGGGGCGATTGACGTGAAACGCATCGCGCCTACAAGACTGCAGGAATACTTCACGCATTGCGCCAAACGCATAGCGATCAGCGCGGCGCGGCGCGGCGCACTATGGTCCACAGACTGGATTTAACGGAACTTTACTCGAAAATGCACTGCACCGCTATAAAAGGTGTTGGATCTTATGTTTTTTGGGTCGCTGATTTCATTTTACATCTTAGTTTAACAAAATAGTAACATCCTNTTGGTTCCTTTCTACGAAACGCGGTCCAATTGAGAGGGTGAGAGACGATCTTAATAGAGAGACTCGACACTCAGAAGAAAAAGTATGGAAGTGACTTTCCGGCTGAGTTGTGGATCTGGAAGGAGCCGCACTTTGGTTCGCGGATCCGTGTTTATAGATTCACGATTTATAAAGTATGGTATAGAAAGGTCGCAAAAAACAAATTTTCCCTGCCTCCTTGCTTCTTCCTTTTCTCTTCTGGCGAAACAAGGGACTATCATAACCAGTATCACACCCTTCGGGCTCATATGACTCCACCAATGGCTGATGTCTATACGACAGATTTATCCTCACGGAACACAATGGATCGTGTCGACCGGAGAGTTGGAAATGAAATTTTTAACTGAAACTGCAAATTTTTTGATGTTTAATTTGTCACATTTTAAATTTTATAAGGGGTGCATCCAAAACAAAATCTCACGGGGAAATGACTTTTAAAACCTCAAACTTTTGCTTGATCTAAGTTATGAGCTTTTAAACTTTCCAAATTTTGTCCGACCTCTCCGATTGACTCGATCAACTGTGCGGCATGTGCATGTGGCAATAATGCGACAGTACCATCTGAGGCGCCGAAGGGATAGGCACGAATGCAGAAAGGTTCATAAAGCTACTTACTCATACAAACGGCGAAACTTTTTCTGCTAAGGGCACAGTTGCCCAACGCATACAAAATCACTCGGCCGGCACCACCCGCACCCCGCCGCCGGCTCACAGTGGATCGAGTCAACGGGAGAGGTCGGATAAAATTCGGAAACTTTAAACGCTCATAACTCCGTTTATACGAAACTTTGAGGTTCTAAAAGTGGTTCCATTGGTTTCCTCGTGAAACTTTTTCCTAGAAACACCCCTGAAAGTCTAAAATGTGACGATATAAACATCAAAATTTGCAGTTGCAGTCAAAAAATTTTATGTCCGACCTCTCTAGTTGACTCGATCCACAGTGTGGCTGTCCACATTTGGGGACTCTATGGGATGGGGCCTGGGCCTCGATCGGAAATTCCTCTCGATCGCTCGGACCTCTCTCCGTGGCACGGCGTGTTTCCTGTCTCCCCTGTTTTTCCACGAGCGCCATTTCTCTCACTTCCGGTCTCTCCTCCGCGGTGCCGCCACCGGAACTACACACTAAGTCTCGCTCACAATTCACGAATCCTTGCCCGGGACCCATGCGCCCGTGCAAGCTCTAAAAATGTTGCTTTTTTTGTTACACGCCCACGCCCACAACCTCATACCATGATCGATTATCGATATTTCTCCGTTTGAAACTGTGGTAAAGAATCGATTACTAAGGTGTTCGCTGCGAACACCCTGTTTATCGATCCTTTCCCATAGGTTTAAATGGCAAATGAATCGATGTATCGCAAAGCACGCCACGCCACTGCCTCATACCCACATTATTCACCGTTCATTGTAGTAGATTCAATGACTACGGCTCACTCAGTGTCAAGTCTGGTTTATGTTACCCTTCATCAGTAATGCCGTCTAAATGCGTATAGCTATTGAGTGGTGCTCATGTGGCACTGATCGAAAATTGGCTTGTGTCTAAATATGCGATAAGCGAGCTTTATTGACACCGACATCAGATTCGTTTTCGATTTAAAAACGTTTTGACTCTCTAATCTAGAGGAAAGCCAACATGGTGGAGGGAAAAGGAGAAGAAATAATAATGTGTACCTATACTGTTTTTGATAAAATTAAGATTATTAAAAAAATTTTAAAAAAAATTAAAATGGTTCCATTTATTTGCCTGCAGTCAATTCTCTCACTTAATCTCTCATCAATGCAGAATCTATTGTAATTCGGCTGATCAAAATGAACATAGTGTGGTCTCTATTATACGCTATTTAGATTATACGCGATTTAGATTATACGCGATTGAGTCCGATTCTTCTTCTCCATTTACTTTTCTTTTTCTCCTTCCAGCCTTGTTACTTCATTTATTTTTCTCTCTTCCTTCTCCTCTTTCTTCTTCTTCTCCTTTATGGAAAGAATTCTTCGTTAATTTCCGATTACCTACGGTTATAAGTTTATCCGCGATTTTCCGGAATCCTGCACTAACGACAATCCCAATTACTGAAGACGAGAGAAATTCCGAAAAAGGAAAACCTGAACGAAAAATATAACCTTAGGAGAATACTGAATGATGCTTACCTGTCACATCAGCGGGTAACGAACACGAGACCCTGAAACAAAAAGAAAACGATCCACGTAAATAAGCGATAACTCAAAACATATAGGAACTCTACAAAAATCGCGCTTCCTCGGAATCGCGGAACGGAGAAGTTATGTGCAGAGGCATATTCCAAACCTCGCATAACATCCTCTGCACATCAACATTTTTCATAGCTTTACACTTCGCAGACTCGCACTCGTTGAGTCATTTTACCTTGAATAATTCGCAGCCGGAGCGAAAAAAGCAGCTACCTACCGCTCACACGCTATGATGCAATTCCGGTGCACTGGCAGGCATAACATTCCCCGTGCATGTAAACGAATTTTCCCTGTTCCAACAGCGCCTTGTTTAGACTCGTTTTTATGTTCCTATCAAAACACAATCGATGCTAATTAACACTCTTCAAAGAAAGAAAGAGAAAACCTTGAGTCTGGAGTAGCAATGCTGTACGGTCTCGTTTTAATGAGGAGAGAAAAGTGTCAAAAATACACTTATCATTGAAGGAGCTGATCGTGCACGACCATTCATGGGCACATTTTCGGGAAAATTGGGACATTCGTTGCTTTTTTTCATTTAAGCCGATCTTAAAGGGAGACGTAAAACATGGGAAAACAGCACTCGATTTCCAGTCATCAGTTTCATTTATTTTCACGTGACATATGGTCCAATGTAATTTTTCAACTTTAAACGCCTAAACGGATTTTTCTCATCTGAGTGTGGGACGCTCCGATTAAGTTCGTATGGACAGTTGGACCCTAAACAATAGAATTCGCAAAAGTATCAATTAGCCGAAATCTAATAATTTAACCATAGAAGCTCTCCCTCTCTGTAATATTTATATAGTCGCAAACAGCAAGGGCTTTAATACTTAAAATTTAAACTCAAAGTCCAAACAATCGTGGTTTCAAAGCCAACACTATCTTAAGCGCACCGACCGATGTGTTTTCCAATTAATTTCAAGAGAATGCATTTGATCACTCAAAGCTCATCAAATAATAATACAAATAAAAAATCCTCCCATATGAGTATATTCTGACATAATCTGCATCCTTGTTTTGCCTTTTATCTGCATATTAGAGTTAAAAGGTAACCGAAGAAACCCCTTCTTTGACCGAGCTAACAAAAACTATCATATCACTTTAGTGCCTCCCCTGTCACGTATTTGTCGTAAAATATGTATGAACATATCCCTAAAATTCGAACGTGTTAATGCGTATTTGTCTGATAAATTTGAATATTTTCTCTTTATTTTAACTGGCTATCACCAAATCGTAACTGAGTAATAATCCTATTACCATTACTTTGTGGCACTCGTCACTAATACTTAAGCCATCGCCATACGAGTCATGAGGAGAATCATACTCAGAAAACTTTCGCCCGCTGCTGTGACTGTGAGGTAATAAAAGAGTGAGCAGACACGCAAGGTTTTCACTAGATTAATGAGAGCATCATTAAAAATGACGATATGAAACAACGTCCACTTTGTCCTACTCCACAATCTATGCGTGTGTAAAATTTGGGTCGAAGCTGTACTACCTGGGTACCTAGGAGAGTACTTCAGAGGCAGACGTACTTTAGCAGGACGTCCATTAAGACACTTTAGAAACCCTGATCGTTTATTTGAAAATTCAAAAATTGAATGTCAGGACAGTTTTGAGATTTTCCTCTTCCAGTTAACGCGCGGCGCGATTGAAGGGTTTTCATTGCAAACATTTCAAAGCGTCTGAAACTAACTTTCGTCATGTTTTTATAACAGATATCGAACAGCGGGCCTTAGGTACCAATTCTTTTCGTATGCAGATTACGCAGATTATATTATTCATTCTAAGAAAAAAAGTTCGGCTACATGAACCGTACGTATACGGTGTTCAGTATCGACCGTATTGTCCGGTTCATGTAACTGTACTCTCGGTTCTGGGAAGCGTGTCCTCGATTCAGCCAATCGAGCATTCAGACCAAACGCGGAACTATTGGAAAAGTCCGGTTGCGTGAACTAAGGATACGGTTCCTAGGACCGAGAGTACGGTTGCACGAACCGAAAAATAAGGCCGATTTTCAACATTGTACATGCGGTTCGTGTGACTGAAATTTTTTTCTCCGGTAAATTGTAGCTTGAACCCCGATGTTCTTGAGGAGCGTTTGGCATCGAAAACTGAAAATCGATGTCAGAGGCGAATAGACACTTTGGACGGAGAGGGGGCAAAATGGGGTTCCGGGGGGCTTTCCCCAGAAAATATTCGAAATTTCAAAGCATCTAATATGCAGGCTGAGTCAATTTCGTCATTATAATTACAAACATATAAGCGTCCTCCCTTCCTCTTTCCTCCCTGCCTCTTTCCTCCGTTCCTTCCTCCTCTCATCCTTCCCTATCTCTTCCTTCTTTTTTTCGGGGGAGCGGAAGGAACCCCTATTGGATCCGCCTATGATGATGTTTGAGCTTGAATCGGCTTTTCCACAGTGCTGAAAAATTGGAGTTTTCCCCTTGAGCAAGGTGTCTACTAAAACAGGCTGGCCAAAAATCAGTACATTTACAGTACTTTTTCAGTACATTACCAAGAAATTCAATACTTCTTTAACAGAAAAATTTGTACAGTAGGTACCTCCAATTGACGAAATTCGAAAAAGTTCAAAAATTTGAATTTCTCGCTCAAATTGCGACAAAAATGAGAAAAAAATGAAAAGATTCCGGGACCTTCTTGCGGAATTTCCGCAATTTTTCAGTGCTTCCGGACCGCCCTTAAAAAATCAGTACTATTTCCGGACTTGCAGACACTAGACACCCTGTTGAGGCATATTTTGCCTGACTCCACCATATTTGCTGAAGTAACTTTCCGACGTAAGCGAAAAATAATTCATCGATACCTTAACTCTGGAGTCCGAAAGTCGTTTTATAATGCGAGCGAGCTTTGAACTTTCCTCGCCTGGATGGGATCGCAGATTGTAGTACGCGTAAGCGCAATAATGGTAGAGCGAGATTAATCCCTCGAGCTCATCTCTGAAAAGAGGCATGCAGACTATCATTATCGCGTGTATTGTTTGCACAACTGTACTTTTTTAATTACGCACTCGTCTCACTACACTCTCCAGTCGGCTGTGCTCTGTTAGAAACGGCGACAATGAGAAATCACCTTATCCAGATCAGTTCAACCTGGTTATTCTGGCGGTTTATGCCAACGTCCGAAACAGACGGGTGCGAATTTGCAACCAAGGTGAAAGAGTTGAAGGAGGACATTTATTCAAAAGGAGGTAGCATCCCTCAAATGGACCGGATACAATAATTAAGCTCAAAAAGAAATATTCGTGAGTTTTTTTAAAAATGAATTTTTCAACGGGAAAAATTTGGCATCACTTAAACACTCATACCGACGATGTAAGTCCGCAATCACATATCTCGTTTGCGGTGTCTGAAAATCTCCGCCTTTATGTTATTTTTTTGAAGGAGAACAAATTGACATCATTCCTTGAAGTTTATGCAGAATTTTCTTTGTACAGAGAAGGAAAAGCAGTAGTTTTCCCGTTTAAAAAATAAAGTATGACAGGAAGTCTACGACGTTACAAACCGAGTTATGTGATTGCCGATTTACACAGTTGATGTATCTTTCTTCCGTAGGTATCATTGCAAAATATCACCTTAACTTAGGCTAAAAACGTAGGTTATGCCCAAAATTAACCGCGAGTTTCTCAAGTGCTATACCATGTTAAAATTGGACTACAACTTCCGGTTCAGTTCAGAAACAACTTATGTGCCGTTAGTTTCCCTACGTACATACGTGTTTTTAAGAATCAGTCAGAGATTGTAATTGCAAAATGAAGTTGCAGGTAAAAAATAGGCAATTTGCAATGCAAAGAAGAAGAAAACTTGCAATTATTTCAGTTTTATTGCAGAGAACGTCAATAAAATGAGCCTCTGGGATAATTGGTAGACAGGCAATAATGCAGCATGCACAATACCTACTCCGACGGAGTAGTGATAATTGTATCAAGCAGTTGCATTTTACTAAGGTGGTAAATTTTGCTGGATCCACGCTTTTTTGCGGGGAAAACGAGTCCAAAAATTTCAACAGTTTCAATTTAGGGTCGAAAATTTTTGAGCTCTAATGAGTACCAGTGCAAGACCCGGGGGAGGGGGACGGGCGTGTGATCACGTCCGCAAAACAGCGTGCACCCAAAACTGTTTTCCCTTTTTGTTACATACAGTTCGGGCCGCGCGCTTTACGTTTCCATCTTATTGCAATTGATTGCATCCTGTTTTACTTGGAGGCGTCCCCTCAGCGGGTTGAAATTGATAGACAAAGTTATATGTAAAGATAGACAAAGGGACAAACCCACGAGAGACCCAATAGTTAGTCCATCAGTTTTCCCCTTAATCTATAGCAGCCATAACCATTCCAACCAATGGAATCCCTCCATACTCCCTATGTCTTCTTTTTTTACCGCTTTGTCTATCAATTTCAACAATCAGCCGGCTGCAGTTTCAAGGATGCTGTGCGAAAAGAGTGGAGTCCGACGAGGATCTGGAATGGCAAACCCGGGAGCTGTCCTCCGGTGCGATCCGGTCCGGAGAGCCAGAACCGTAAGTCCACGGGGAGCTGCAGGCCTCATGGAGCAGCCAAGACAGAGCTGGGGAGGAATGACCTGTTTGTAAGTAGATCATCGGGACGCTGCGCTGCCAGGAGTGCAGGACCAAACCGACGACGCCAAATGGTTCCCTCAACTCAAACGCGCCCAGAATAACGAAGAGTTTCCGGCAATTTGCACTTGGCCTGCCATTTTGCGCACGTCCTTTAGCGGATCCCACAGGGCACGACCCTGTGATCAATTTCTGTCGGGCTCAGGAATAGGGCAGCATGTGCAAAAGATTTAAATCATTAATCTGAGGATAGTGAATTCAGGACCATCTTCGGTAAAAGGGCGCATGAGGCTTTCAATGCTGCTGAGATTCTGCAATTTTTCTTTTACCATTGCTCGAAAAATAAATCCATTTACAATTTGACCGCGTTTAGCAGAAAT